GAAAAAGCCTGTGAGCCAAGGGATCCTGGACAGAGGTTCCAAGACCGTATACTGGAGGAAGGGTGGTCTCTGCCACGTGCTGCTGGGAAAAGAGAGCCCCACCTGGGGCTCCGGACGCTCAGACATCAGCTCCAAGTGACGAACAGCACAAACGTCAGACTGCGGCCCCCAGCTCCACAGAAACGGAAAGACCTGAGAACAAGAAAGACTTCCAAAGGACTCCCAAAACACAGGGGAAAGGCAAAGAAATGGAAACTGGGATTATATTGAGCCAAACGGCTATACACCGAAGTAAAGGGATTCTACAGAATGGGAGAAGATACTCATCTGAGAGGATTAATTTCCAGATATTATGAGGAGCTAAAAAAAAGTGAGTCAATTTAAGAGTGAGCAAATTATCTAAATAGACCCTTCTGGAAAAAGGAAATACAATTTCATGAGCTGCCAGGGAAATGCAAACCAGAACTACAATGAAATACCATCTCTGCCCAGTTAGAATGGCTGTTTTTAAAAGAAGGCTGGATGTGGGGGAAAACGAGCCTCATGATAGCAGGAGAAAGCAGAACAGTACAGAACTAGAGATGGATCTAGCACCGCTTCGGGGTACGAGCCAAGGCAGAGACGCAGCCTGCTCGCGGCCCTCAGGGCCCTGTTCCCAATGGCTGAAACTGGGTGTCTGCCTGGGTGCCCAGGGGAACAGAAGGGATGCAGGACAGATCTCGTCATCTGCAGCAAAGTGCACGGAACGATCAAATACGCCAGGTTCTCGCATAGGTGGAAGTGAAAAACCACGTTGGCCGGAAGTAGAAGTTGTGAAGGGGAGGGGCTGTGAACACGTGCAGACCGGAGGCGGCCAGCATGGTGCAGCCATTGCTGAAGCATTCACACCAAACTACAACCATACGTTATATAAAATAATCTTTATTTTTATTTATTTACTTTGTTGTTGTTGTGGGGCTTGAACTCTGGGCCTGGGCGCTGTCCCTGAGCTCTTCAGTTCAAGGCAAGCACTCTACCACTTGAGCCACAGCATCATTTCTGGTTGGCTAATTGAAGGTAAGAATCTCAAGGGGACTTTCCTGCTGGGGCTGGCTTTGAGCAGTGATCCTCAGATCTCAGCCTCCTGAGTAGCTAGGATTACGGGTGTGAGCCACCAGTGCCCGGCTGTATAAAAAAACTTTAAATGCTTTGTTTTATATTACATCCTAAACCAGCATTCCTTTGCTACTGGGGCCTGAAATCAGGGCCTTCTGGCCATGCCCTGTCACTGAGCCATGCCCCAGTTTGAGTTTGTTTTTCAGTTGGGCCTTGTGCTTTTTCCTGGGCAGGACTCAGACTTGAGTCCTCCTACCTCTACTTCTGGGATCATGGGCATGTACCATCATGCTCAGACTGCATCCTACAGCCTCTGTGTATTGATGCACAGATAGAGCTCTGGGTGTCGGTGGCAGTTGGAAGTGGCAGATGGCTTTGGTTGATCATAATTTTGATATGGATAGGTAGACTATTACAGTCAGTGCAGATGATACAGAACTTAAATCAACAGTAGCAGTACGTATCTTTCTCTTTCCCTTCCTGAATTAAATCAAAGCTTTAACTCAGTGACAAATAACAAAACAAAATTGAAAAATGGCCAAAAGATGAAACTGGGGGGCGTGGCTCAGGTGGTGGAGCACCTGCTGTGAACAAGCGAGCAAGAGCTTAAGTCCCTGACCTGAACGTCCCAGGACCAGCACAAATAAATAAATACTATCTGGAAAGAAAGGCAGTGGGGGCGGGGGAGAGCCTAGCATAGCCATTTCTCCAGAGACGTCTGTGAATGTCAGTAAGAACCTGAAAGGAGACTCGGACACAGCGTTAGTCACGAAGCCGTGGGCATCCTCCGGGATGACTTTTTTTTTTTTTCAAAATTTTTATTGTGATTAAGTGATTACATAATTTCCCAAATTTCACGTTATTGTGGGATAGTGATGCTCAGTTAAAGTCACAAACATTCTAACTTTCCTGGAGCAGATTGTCTATCTGGGGATGACTCTTGAAGAGAAGTCTGAAAATAGCCTGTGTTGGAAGCGCGGTCTGAGCCCGGTGCCGGGTTGGCAGCTCCGTGGAGGAGTGTGGCAGCATTTTACAATGTTAAACGGAATTGCCATGGACCCAGCGGCTCCATTTCTGGGTGTAAACCCAAAAGAAACAGGGAGCCACTCTGAATACGCACAGAAGCATTGGTCACACTGGTTGAAAGGTGGTGTCAACAGGTAGACACTGCCTGCCAGAACTCGCCCGAAGTCACGGCTGCTAGGAAATTCAGGGAACAAAACGTTAAACGCTGCCATGGATATGTGAACCTCAGTGTGGACAAACGATTCCATCTCCTCAATAACTCAGTGCCACAGGAGCCGGGCGCCGGTGGCTCACACCTGTCATCCTAGCTACTCAGGAGGCTGAGATCTGAGGATCACGGTTAGAAATCAGCCCAGGCAGGAAACTCTGTGAGACTTATCTCCAATAAACTATTCAAAAAAGCTGGAAGTGGCACTGTGGCTCAAGTAGTGGAGTGGGCTAGCCTTGAACAAAAAGCAGCTCAGGGACAGTGCCCAGGCCCAGAGTTCAATCCCACAACCAGCAAAAAAAGGAAAAAAAGACACAGGAAAAAGCGAAAGGGAAGCCAGTGGCTGGTGGCTCACGCCTGTAATCCTAGCTGCTCAGAAAGCTGGGGTCTGAGGAGCTCAGTGCTATTCAAAGCCAGGCGAGGCAGGAGCACTGGTGAGACTCTTATCACCAGTTAGCACCCCCCCCCCCAACAACCGGAAGTGGTTCTATGGCTCTAGAGGTAGAGCGCTTGCTTTGAGCTGAAGAGCTCAGGGACAGCGCCCAGGCCCAGAGTTCAGGCCCCACAGCTGACAAAAAAAAAGAAAAGAAAGGGGACCTATGATAGATTCAAAGATATTTAAGTGCCTAAGGCAATATTTGGATGCCAGTTCACATAAGCCATTTGTACATGGGGGTCGGGGAGCTGCTACACAAAATCGCTGCAGGAGGAGCCAAGCCCCCCCCACCGTAACCACGGCAACCACGGCAACCAGGCTGCAGTGAGGGTTTCAAACAGCCGCGAAATCAGGAGCTGTTTCAAGATAACTCAGAGGAGAAAGGGGAGGCCGAGCGCAGAGATGGAGCTCATTCTCTCTGTTATTTTTTAACATCTTTAGACATTTCTGTTAGCTTTTTTGTTTGTTTTTGTTTTTTTTGGGGTCCGGTCATGGGGCCTGAGCTCTGGCCTGGGCGCTGTCCCTCAGCTCTTCAGCTCAAGGCTAGCGCTCTACCACTTGAGCCACAGCGCCACTTACAGCTTTTTTCTTTTTGCTTATGTGGTGCTGAGGAATCGAACCCAGAGCCTCATGCATGCAAGGCAAGCTCTACCACTGAGCCACCTTCCCAGCCCCTTCTGTTAGCTTTTCTAAAATATACCATTCTATACAAGCCAATCTAGGTTTATATGATTTTATTCTAGTAAAACACATAAAATTTGCCATTTAGAAGCCAGACGCTTGTGGCTCACACCTGTCATCCTAGCTACTCAGGAGGCTGAGACTGAGGATCACGGTTCAAAGCCAGCCCGGGCAGGAAAGTCTGTGAGACTCTTATCTCTAATAAACCACTAGAAAACCGGAAGTGGCACTGCGGCTCAGGCAGTAGAGCGCCTTTGCCTTGAGCTGAAGAGCGCAAGGACAGCGCCCAGGCCCAGAGTTCAAGCCCCATGACCAGCAGCAACAACAATTGCCATTTAACCATTTGCAAATGTGCTTGGTGTTGTGTTCTCTGGCAGCAGTGTGCAACCATCACCACTAGCTTCTTCCAAACTTTTTTCCCAACTCTGCTGCTGAGTCTGACTCTTCTTTGCACGCTCTGTTCTCAAGGCCACCAGGCTGTAGCAAGCCGGAACTTTGGTCCTTGTGGCTCTCACCTCCATGCTCCGTCCTGCATCTCATGCTTCAGGCGTCATCAGAGCTGACCTGGCCCCAGAACTAAGGCCTTCTAAAAAGTAGAGGGATGGAAGTGGTGCTGTGGCTCAAGTGGTAGAGCACTGCCTTGAGCTGAAGAGCTCAGGGACAGCACCCAGGCCCAGAGTTCAAGCCCCATGGCCAGAAAAAAAAAAAAAGTAGAGGGGTAGAGTGACAAGAACAGGAGCCCACAGCTGCCTGCGCTAAAGACCTCCCTAGGCCCCCCCAGTGTTGGTGGGGAGGGGCAGCCTCCAATCCAGACACATACGAGTGGCAGAAGTAGCACATTTGTTATGTAACTTTTGCCACAATAGTCATCTGCCTTCTATGACAACATGCTCAGACACTGACAATGTACCGGAAAAGCTGCACACACACACACGTACACACACACGTACAGCGTAACTGCTACACACACACACACACGTACAGTGTAACTGCTACACACACACATACAGTGTAACTGCTACACACACACACGTACAGTGTAACTGCTACACACACACGCGTACAGTGTAACTGCTACACACACACACACGTACAGTGTAACTGCTACACACACACGCGTACAGTGTAACTGCTACACACACACGCGTACAGTGTAACTGCTACACATGTACACACACACGTACAGTGTAACTGCTACATACACACGCGTACAGTGTAACTGCTACACATGTACACACACACGTACAGTGTAACTGCTACTGGGCACATTCCTATTTTTTTCATCATATACACCTCCTTACATGACTTACGCTTGTGGCACCTTATAGAAGCATCTATGGAGATCTTCCTACCTGGGCACCACCATGCCTGACTTATTGATTGATGTGGGGTTTCATTAACATTTTACTAGGGTTGGCTTCGAACCACAGTCCTCCTGACCTCTGAGATCACAGGTATGAGCCACCATGCCCACCTCAACCTTTGGTGCTTCTGAAGAAATCAGCATTCCGCATCTCTGAATTCAGTACATTAATGATCACTTCTTGACTTTAGGAATTTGAGAGCGTGTTTTGCGGTAAAACTGGCAGAAGGCTAAAGCTGACCAGACCGGACTCCTTGGTGACCTGCCCGGCACAGGGGAGTCTGCAGAGCAGCCCCGCGATGGAGCTCAAGTGACTGGACTGAACCGGGACCTGGGGTGCACGGCACTCCTGCGGGACCGCGCCCATGTTCTTCGTTCCTGGAGCCCCTCTCTGACGGCCCACCTTGAAAAGGGACATGCTCTGGCGATGGGACTCCAGCAGGGACGTTGAGAGCACATTTTGTGAAAGTATGTATCTAAAGCAAAATACGTACCCATGAATGTCCTAATGACCATTTGAGGATAAAGACATCTTGATAATTTGTAAGTAATTTTTCAATTATCTGTCTGATTTCCATCATGTGTTCTTAACATGATAGCTTAAGAAATTAACATCCTTTGCCATTTTTTTTAGTCTTAACAAGACTAGAGAAAACATTTCTTTTTACTTATTTTATTTATATTTTAAATATGCCCCTTTAGCGATTGGAAATGTAAATTGTTAACTAGTAGTTTGGAGATTTTATTTCATGTGTTGTATCCCTCCCCGCTGTAACGCTCCCCGTCTCATGGTACTAAAAAGTACAGCACTCTTCTGAAACATTTTGCAAAAAATTTTCCAGATACTTCTTTAAAGGTACTTTTGTCCATAAATATTTTCTCAATAGATGCTTACATGCTCATATTTTCATATTGTGATTCATTACTTTATGTGAAATAAACTGTGTTTGGAACTGAGTTTCCCAGCGAGTGGCTTTATTTATTACAACAGGTACTTCAGCACACCGTGCGGGAGCTGCCGTCAATAAATACTGTCTGGTAGGGACGCTCTGTGTGTACCCGCAAAGCAGGCGAAGCAGACTAGACTGTTGTGCACTCGATTTTTTGTGTTACACTATAGTCAGTTACTAATCTGGAACTTGAATGTATCATTTTATTGGGGTGTGTCACAGACTTTACGCAGATGCTGTGTAAACAAGTCACTGAGTGTGTTCATGGAATTGAACAAGATTCTCTAGCTGCAACCTCGTCCCTCGCGGATGCTGGGCTCCCAGTGGCCTTCTCTGGGCCTGTGTCTGAGGCACACGGTCCTGGCTGAGCGGACGGACAGCGTAGGCGTTGCAGGCTGGCCACGAGCGGGGCGGGCAGTGTGCCACGAGCCACCAGCTGGGGGCCGTGGCAGGTGGCCGGGCAAGCCTCCGGATTGACCAGGCTGCGAGCGGCCCGCTGGGCACGGCTGCTGTGCGCTGCCCCCGGGAGGCAGCGTCCGCTTCCTGACAGCCCAGCCGTCCTTCAGGAGCTCCGAGGACCGGACTTCTCCCCGCCCCCTCCCAGGACGGCGCCTTGGCAAGCGGAAGTGTCGCAGATTCCTGGCGTGCCTTGAGCCCCGACAGCACCCGGAAGGCCAGAGTCCCCAGGAAGTCCCGGCTCCCCCGGAGCGCCGTCTCTGCCATCTTTGCTGGTGCCGGGCACACCCGGGGGCCCTGCAGACCGGGAAGGTGAGGTCAGAGGCCACGAAGCAGCTGCCCCTCCTTTCCCTGGCTAGTTTGTGAGCTCTGGAGGAGGCCAGGGCCGCAGGGCGGAGGCAGAGGCAGGGCAGGCGAGGCCCTGGAGGCCACCGAGCAGGCTCGACGGTTTCGAGGGTGCCCGGCTCTCTGGTTTCAGAAGCATTTGGCGGGCAAAGAGTGGATTTGTGTGAGGAAGGGGAAGCAGGCAGCCGGGGTGGGGAGGGAACTGTGAGGAATGGGGTGGGCTGGGGGGCGGGCAGGGGGCGGGCAGCTCCCAAGTGGAAGCCGAGGGCCATTCACTGGCATGGGCCGGCCGCCGCCTACTGGAAGGGCCACAGAGGGGCAGCCAGGACCACCCAGATGAGGGGACACCTCAGAGGACGTGGGTGCCTGCCTGCCGAGGCCTGGCACCCCGAAAGAGGGGGAGCACAATGTGTACTGACTACTTTTAGGTGTTGGTGCTTAAGCAGCCGCTTCCGGTTCCTGACCGTGCTCAGACCCAGCCCCCTCCCCACACACGCCACCAGCGCCGGCGGCTGCCCACCTTGGAGCCCCTGGTCCCCCGCGGGTCCGTCCTGCCCCGCGCCGGCCGCGCCCTTGTCTCCTCGGTCGCCTCGGCTTCCTGCAGCGAGAGCACAGGGTGGGCAGAGCGGCC